ATCTACTAGTAAAGGTCTTTAATTTGATGTGCATGACGACCTATGCTTCTATTTAAGATTTCCTTCTGACTCCTTGTGGGACGTCCCCATGATATGACAGAAAATTGATAGTCCCTTAAAAAAGTAGATTTTTAAGTGTGGTGTTGATGTGCAAAATCTTATTGATTTATCTGTTGTCGTTTAGAAAATATTAAGCCGGTCCGGGACTTTTGGGACAGTCTGTATATAGTTTAATTCTAAGTACCTTTTATTGGTGATTGACCCCTTTTTACTGTTAATGGTTACTAGGCTAAAAAGCCGTATCACAACCTACCTCCTTTTGGCATGGGAAAATTTTGTTTCTTAAAAGACATTTTCCTAAGCCAAAAAAAGGTAAGTTGAGATACGGCTTTTTGGCCTAAAAAACGTTAACAGTAAAAAGGGTAACTGGATTAAAAAATATGAATGTATCATTATACATTAATAAAAATATATTCATAGTCTCCTACATTGAAAAAGAAGTAGTTTGAAAAAAAAAATTATTGAATTCGGTCAACCGGTTAAATTAGAAATCGAAAAAACATGACTCTGACTGGCTTTGACAAAACATCCATTTTCTCAGATTCGTCATTTATGTTGATACGGCCTTTTTGCTTACCACGGCAGCAGCTCCTTTGATGAAAATGAAATGGAAACAACGCTTGCGCCAACAATCGTCTGCTCCGTTTTACACTTCTGTCTGCTGTGCGCTATGTTACAACAGATTTTAGATACAACAGCTAGGGAATGATGACGATATAATGCTTAGTAAACTGTGTTTGAGTGATTAGTAACCATGGTAACTTAAGTAAGGCTGCGATTGGCCAATGAGTAGGCCTAAATATGGTGTTTTGTTGAATTTGTGTATGAATTGAAGAGAAACCTATTAAAGAACAAAGAAAAAGAATAACAAGATTGTTCTCGTTACATTCTTTTTTAAGAGTGTTTTAATTATCTCTAAATATAATTTTACACTTTTTTATTACTTATCTATCAATTCCTATGCTGTGATACAGCACCTATTGGTAGCCTATCTGTCTATCATGAGCAGTACCTTATAACACTTTCTAAAGGTTCCTTTAATATTTACGTTATTTATAGCAATGCAATGTTTGGCTGGTGATTAGTAGAGTTTGAGTTAGCCATAATTTTAAACGTTAACGTGTGTACAACTGAACCAAGATAAATGATTTGAAATTTACAATAATAATGTTATTGCACAATAATAATGATTGTGCAATATTGAATTTTGTTTATAAAAATGATAATTCTTATTCTTCAAAAAAGGGCGATAAGAATCATTAATGAATTTGAATTTTGGTGATTCGGTTCGTCAGCATTTTACAGATTTGGGCATAATGTCTGTTTACAGTTTATATGTTTTTTACACAGCACTTCATGCTAAAAAAACTAAGTATAAACAATCTGGTTCCCAGGTTAGGTGACAGCCATTCCTATTTTACAAGAAATAGAAATCAAATTGCCATTGATTTACACAGGCTAGAGTTTTATAATAAAAAAACATTAAATGCGGGTGCTAAGTTTTTACTAAGGCTACCTGTGGAATTAAGAAACGTTAAAGATGTAAAAATGTTTAAGAAAAAATTAAAACTGCATTTGACAAATAAAACATTATATAAATTTGATGAACTCTGACAACCATACTTTTTGTTGTTTATGATCAACTTTTGTTTTAAATATGTACCTTATGGCTTATGGAGGAAATGTAAAGAAATTAATTTGTTAGCTGTAATTTAGCATAATGACGCCATTCGATGTATACCACTGTATATTATATGAATAAAGACATTTTCAATTCAATTCAATTCAATAATCGTGACGTTAATGGCGGTTTACAGCGTTTTAATGAGTTTGTCATCTGTTTTTATAATGTATTGGATTAACCGTATTTTTCATTACCCCCTTCATTTCATTTTCATTTCATTTTCATTTTTATTTTCCACGGCAATGCCATTTACAAAATACAATCAGTTAAGATTATAATAGATTATATGAATACAAAATATTAAATTATAACAAAACAACATTTCATCAGCAATAACAACAATACAATCAATAAACAATAATAAACTATGACATAACAAAAACAAGGCAAAAAGAATGATAATAACAATAACAATGATAATGAAATGTGGTATGGTAGGATGTCTGAGTTCCCCTTCTCTCACTATTAACTCAGGTAATCTAGTATCTACACAATAGTGTAAAGTATTGTAGCCTATGATACTTGATTGTATTTTAACGAGCTTTATGTCAACAAATCGTTCTGTGCTAAGTCGCGGTGTAGCTGGACGTGTCTGTACCACGCGTTATCTTTTATCTATCACAGCAGTTGAGCCATTCCGTGCCCTCCCTCTTAGATCTCACGTCTTGCTAATCTTAAATAATAACTTCCTACACGAATCCTAAACTATCCTAAAATCCTATTTTAACTAATTGAATTCAATAATATAACTATTGTCATTAATTAATCCACCTTCTATCTGGCGACTTCGTAATATATTTTGGATTGTCGTCACGTTGAACACTGTTGCAATTAGCTTTAGCCACCCCCCCCATTTGAATTTTTTGAGCCCCCCCCAAGAATTTCAATGACGCAGTCTGCGTCACAGCCCCCCCTTGTGGGCACCCCTGTGTATGGAGAAATATACGAGCTATCAATCAGTCCGGCGCTTTTAACATTTTGGTTTTTTGATATATACAGCATGCAAAATTGGGCTCTCTGTTTTGTGGGTCCATCTGAAATAATGAATCTATATAAAAGGCAAAGCCCTCACTGACTGACTGACTCACTCACTCATCACTAATTCTCCCACTTCCCACCTACCTAGGAGGCTGAAATTTGGTACACTGATTCTTTAGGCATTAAATAGGAAAACTAAGTGGTTTGTATTCTGATCAGACTCTCGGGCTCCGCCCCAGTGGCTCTGGAGTTTCCCATGTTAACCTAATGAGTACTCATATTTAAATGGAATTAATGAATCTTAACAGCTGTTTCAATTAAACAAGTTGGTTCTGTTCTATGATGTTCAATAGCATTAAAGTTACAAGGATTACCAACAGAGTGCAGCACTATTATTTTTTTTAATATTTGACAACAGCTAATTACCAAAAGGTGAGTGAGCGCAGCGAACGAACTTCAACCCGGAGGCGAGTTAGCGTAGCGAACGAACTTCAACCAGGACGTGCGAGCGCAGCGAACGAGCTCCAACCTAAAGGTGAGTGAGCGTAGCGAACAAACTTCAACCAAGACGTGATTGAGCCATGCGAACGAGCTCACATATGAAGTTAAACGGGGCAAAGCCCGCGGGTACAGCTAGTGCAGTGTGGTACTAAATCTAGGATAATATATAAATTGATAATTTCAAACCGGCTCGAGAGCTGACTTTTGAAATGGAATATTAATCTGTAAAATGTAAATAAAAAAATGTAAATGTGATTTGTTTATAAATGGGTCGACATCTGAATGGTTATAGTAGCATAGTGCTCGTTGGTAAATAAAAAAGTGACCGTTTCGATCCTGAAAAAGGAAGTAGATTTTTATAGGTACTCAATTTTAGGCTTAGGCTCTCGGTCCAAAAGTCCTTAATCATCAAACTGTTGTCAAATAAATAATGGTTCCGGCTAAAGAAACATACGATGGGTATGGATATGGTCTCACAGTCAGCAAACCAAAGTAATCTCACTCACTCAATTCTACCATAGATAAAACATACTTCCTTAGTTTAGATTCTACACTCTTAGTTTTTAGGCGTAGCGTAATGAATTAATATTGAAGTTAAAATACGTCCAGTTGCCTCCTCATCTTACGGTACTAGGGCTAGTAAAAAATAATACTGTAAAACCAATTTCAGTCTAATCCACGTATGTTTAGATACAACCATTAATATACTTTATACAAAATGACTAATTTTCTTATTTGAGTGAATACTGTGAAAAAGAAATATGAATCAATAACTTACCGTCAAATTATTTCGATATCCAGATGGGCACTCGCGAAACAACCGTACACTACAACCATACAACCTCTCTCCTTGCCGGTTCAACACGCACTGACTATGGAGGAAGGAAGGAGAAGGAACGGAGTGGAGTGAGACAAAACTGGCAACAATGAAATTCACCGTCTCTCCCCCACTTCCTCTCTCTCTCATTGTTGTTCTCCCCCACTTTTCTCTCAACATATTACACCTCTCTCCCTTCTGATTCCCCATCACTATTGTTAATGTGGACTATTATTCTGCTTCCTTAGTGTTTTTTTTACCCAAAACTGAAAATTGCAGGTGTGTAAACAATTGAAAATTAGGATTTTGTGACGGAAATTTGGGCCTTTTCTTATATAACTACTACTATACTGTGTTTCAGGATGAAATGTTATTACCTCTACAACTCCTGTGTAGTGTGTTCCAATATATACAGGGTGATTGGTACTCAGTGTGACAAAATTTTTTTGGTGTAATTACAAAGTAAATGAAGTGTGATGATGCATATCAAATGTTCCAAGTCTAAAAATTAACTTCACATAAAATTATTTTATGTTTTTCAAAAATAACAATAATTTTAAACTAAATACAGCGATTTCTCAATTACCTGTATATGGATTTGAGTAAATAATGTCATTATTTATTACTATACCAGTGATCCGGAGGCTCACTGAATATATATAATATTATGTTTAAGTTTTGGTTCAGCATTTCTCAGAAATAAATGCTGTTATCATTCATTCTAATGAATTCGAATCTATTGAATTATCTTATGGTAGCCTAAAGAACAATAGTTTTTTACACCTAGGTCTCTCCAAAAATTTTTTTTTACTTTATTTTATTTTACAATCTGCTCAGTACTGTGAACAATTAGTAAAAGG